TTCTAATTTCCAGGTATATTTCCTTTCCATAATGCATTGCTGATACATGCAGTAACATGCTCAGTAGATGCACAAATTTAATTTGGTAGAAACAGAAATATAGCCATATAATAGTAATATAATTATACTTTATTTAATGAGGATAACACAGTTTTCACTTAGATTACATACATGACTATAGATAGTAATTAAAATGACTGACAAACTATATATAAATGCGATCTCAAATGGAATGTAGTTAAAATGCATCAACAAATTTCTTTAAATATCTGTGTTTAAAAATATCAGATGCTATCTGATTGCCTAATTTCCTGTTCTAAACTATTTCACACACATGCTCCTGCTATGAGCAGGCTGTTTTAAAAACTACCTTGTGTGCTTCAGGTTCTGCCTTGATATAAAGTTGTTGGCAACTGCATGCATCTGTAGTATAGGTAAACATTTCTCTCATATAGAGGTGCTAAATAGTTAAATGACTTAAAAACTGGAGTTACAATGTGAAATGGACAAGAGATCAACGAAGAGATCTAAATAGAACTTTAGATGAGTTTCTGCCTGAACATCAAGAATTACATGAGCTGCACATTTCCGTAACCAAAATAGTTTTGACAAGCCCCATAGTGAGCATGAAAAATATCATGGGGTAAAAATAAAAGAGTTGTAATAAATTTAATATGAACAACATATTTTCGTAAAAAATGTTATTGCAAAATTTCTATTTTCTATAATCTCTTGATTAGTTTTTGATATATGAAGGGTGACTAAAGTTGATTTAGGCACTCAAAGGGTCAAAGGTCAAAGGGTTAAATTACTGAACATGTAACTATGTTTACACGACAGCATTTTATAGGAGCCCTGTGCCTCAAGCCAGCAAAAATGGCTGTCTATACACGTTTGGCTCGAGCCAAGTTCGGCTCCAATAATCACTCACGGTTAAACTCCGTTAGGGTTGGGCCCCGACATGGCTCCTTCTGTGTATACGCATTGGGTCCAACTATCGGGCTGAAATCGCGCCTTCAGTTGTCTTCTTCAAGTAAATTTTACTTATGGCGGAGACAACATTGTTTGTAATTTCGTGTAATTTCTGATTTGACGAAGAGGTACGCACCCTAATATCTATTTGACAGTGTAAATAATTACTGTGATAGATTGATAGCTCCACAACGGGAAACAGAAAAATGGCATACAAAATTGTGTGGCAAAAACTTGAAAGGACGACTGAAGAATCTTTTCACCGAAGATAAAAATTGTACAATCACAGTACGGTGATGTGTTCCTACTAGGTTTAGGTTGACAATTGTTACACATATCACAACAGTTGAATAATTAAAAGATGGTAAATTTGCATGACAATAACTTAAGTGAATAGACTGTAACACATTGAGCGTATTTTAGCTGCCATGTATTCTGTTTGTTTGAGATACCTAAATCATAACACCAGTGAATTATGACTTCTCCCAGCTCAACAGCATCGTGCCATGTAAAGAAACAACACAAGCACAACACCAACATTTTTTTTCAGCCATTTTGTTTTCATACTAAGTATATTTAAGGGCTCTGATCGAACTGAGTTGAACTCCGGCAGATCCTGGCTCTTGTACCGCTCCTGACTGTGTAAACGCATTGGAGATAATCTTTGGTTAATCAGTGAGAGAAGCAGTAGTTCGGCTCCGATACAATATAACGACAAGGGCTTTTACAGAAAATAAGACTGTGTGCAAATAAAGCACAAAGTCAACATAAAGTCATTGTTCATTCAAGAGTTGGAGAAAGTGTAGTGAACAAAAATCAGAAGTTACTTTACAGAAATGAGTTTCATGAAACGATTGTCAAGAGCAGATAATGACACAAATTATTATAATATTACTGTACGTACACTTGTTACCTACTAATTTACAACTATGAACTAAATTAAACTACAGATTCCACCCATGCCGCCCAAAGTTGGTGTTTCTGCATCCGGAGCTGAAGCAAAGTCCAAGAAACAACTTGGTAGCAGTAGTCGGACCCTCATTGGAGATGAATTCAAAAAAGATTGTCGTAGTTTGGAAAAATATCTTCAGCTAGTAATAAAACATAATTTACTAGGAAAAGATGAAACTCTAGGAAAATTTCTGACTGACACAGAAGTGAGTAAATCGTTGATTGTTTTTTCAACGTGTTTCATATATATTGTATATCATGGAAATGTATGTCTGTGAATGAGTTGATGGGTATGCTGTCTGTGAATGAGTTGATGGGTATGCTGTCTGTGAATGAATTGATGGGTATGCTGTCTGTGAATGAGTTGATGGGTATGCTGTCTGTGAATGAGTTGATGGGTATGCTGTCTGTGAAAGAATTGATGGGTTTGCTGTCTGTGAATGAGTTGATGGGTATGCTGTCTGTGAATGAATTGATGGGTATGCTGTCTGTGAATGAATTGATGGGTATGCTGTCTGTGAATGA